AAAAAAAAACTGGATAAGAAGTGTAATTATACAATGTAGAAAATATAGTTAAACCGTATGACTCTTGAAATCATGATAGAGAATAACTGAAAATAACTTGAATTTAACCCACCTTTCCATTTATGAGTCATCATGCGTAGAGATGTATAAAGGAAGACTTTGCCCTTCTCAACAACATAGACAAGCTATTTAATAGAGTGCTTCCCTCACGTTTCTGGATATGCTCCCTATGCATATTTATGAATGAAGATAAAATTGTGGGGACAATTGATGAATTTTGGACTACATGTTTTTTTGAAGTGTGGTTATTAATGTTTAGTTGTATATATACATGTATACCATGAATGTAATGGGTACAAACACGCTGTATTTCAGAAGTACAGACGAGTATATTTTCCAGTTTATTTAAGCCACGAGTCTCTCTGTCTATTCCGTTTCAGTGAAATAGAATGGAACAAAAATTCGTGCCTTGTAGAAAACACTTGCTCAATCAATCCATTAACGCTTAACTAGTTATAATGAAATATGATGATAACGAACTGTAATCAAGCTCAAAAGTCCATTGGAGCAATACAAATTTGGAACAGAGCAAGCACGGACCTCTGAAAACATCAGAGGTAGGAGCAGGTGCCATGGAGTAGTAAGCATCCCTTGTCGACAGGTTACACCCACCGAGTGCTCCTTGTCAGGAAAATCCAGAAAATTCAGTGTAAAAATAATGGCCTAACAATTTATTTGAAAAACGTTAGTGAGCATCCGACTTGATGATACATTTTAATTGCTAACAAGGTCATCGTATCGACCATAAAATTTGCGAAATGTTAACTTTAAACGAGACTGTTGATATCCGTTTATCATCAACTTATTTGCCAATAGTTTGCCTCGTTTTAGAAATTGTTCGTCCATAGAACATGCTCTTGCGTATCGAATCAACTGGGAGAAATAAACTCCAAATGCTGGTGAAAATGGTATATTGCTACATAAACAAGGGAAGTTGACGATAGAAAAGTTGAAGTCATGTTTATCATAAAGTGTTGTTGTTAGTTTGCCATTTATGTCCTTTTTTCTATTAAAATATCCAACTACTGTAGATTCCTTATTTTAGGCGAGTACTTAATATCACGAATTGGCCCAAGGACGTCAAATCGCGAGAACAATAATTCACGAATGGGTGATTTATCTAGATATTTTATATACATTAAAGCATCACAAGTAATAGCTTTTCAAAAAGCTTGCCTGACTAATCAATCAATATCTATGGAACGTATAAGCAAGACAGGTGCTAAACGTTTCCGTCATCAAGGAGCGACATAGTTGCGATACTTCATTACACAAGATGTACAATTGACTTTCTCAAATCTCATAACCAAATACAGTAAAACTTGTTGAATCCGGATGTTGTGCATTCCGGCATGTTGTTCAGTCCGGCGTAATATTTTAGTCCCCTGAATTTCCTTTATAATTTATGTTTAATAAATGTTGTTCAATCCGGATCTTGCCTATTCTGCAAACCGGCCGCTATTTAAAGAACTAACTGCTCATAATTAGTACAAATTATCTCCTCTAATCCGGCCACTTATTTTTACCTGTGCCCGCTGGTCATTAGAGAAGTCTCGCGTGGGGTAATTATTGTCCCGTTAATGATCTATCCTGTATCGACAGTTTAGATTTTAACAAACGTGATAAAAAAATCATTAATGGCTCAAGTAAGGCGAGGAAATTAACTCGCAAAAGAACGAGTAATAGTGATGGTTGGGTAGAAAAACTTGGAGACTTGTTCATGACCAGTCCTCCTTTCTACTTTCGTTTTGTGTGCACGACGTGCAATTCGAATTACTTCCCTTTGTGTCGCTAGTTTACAACGACCATAACGACACAAGATTTTGGTTCAATATTCATTATAACATTTGAAGTGTCTTAATATTCAATCATATTAATTTTAAAAGAAAGAAATTAATTAGGAATCTGTCCCTAACAAAATAATATTTACAACGACGATGAGGTTTTGGAGTGTGTTTAAAACATTTAAGGATTTTCAAATTTAATAAATGACCAAGAGATATTATATTTCGTTACTGAATAAAAAACTTAAACAGAAATGAAAATTCTGAAGAACAAAAAGAGTTTAAAACAAACGGAAATAGAGGATTTTTTTTCAAGTGAAAAGTAAAAAATGACACATTTGATCAAGTATTTATTTACCACTCTATGTTTATGTAATTTTTAACTTTCTATAATGGTTCAATTTTCTCCAATCCGGATGTTGTCTAATCCGACCAAAAATTTTGGAACCACTGGTCGCCGGATTAGACAAGTTTTACTGTACTACAGATTAACGAATATCTAAGACATGCCACTGTTCAATCATTTATTAGTTAGCCCACGGGCTGACAAGTTACGTTGAGGTGAAACTCTAAGTGCGCTAGCGTAGATTATAATTTTGGGAAAAATAGTTAGATGATTCTAAAGAAATTCATATTACATGTACTCTCTTACTAGAGGGCGCGCTTCTCTGGTCAGTGATAGATTGATGAGACGGCCTCTTGGTCTGTTTTCCGTCGTTCTCGACATCGAAGTAAATAATGAACAGTTTTAACTGCCTTTTCTTGAAGTGTTTGAGACAAAAATGCTTCAATGCTGCTCTAGAACTCAAAGTAAATGGACTGTACACTTTATAACTAGAGCAAAACAAGATACTAATAACCCCCCCCCCCCCCGGACGAAACTCACGCGCTGATGGTCTTACCATATACATGTACATGTATTATAAATGAGCTTAAAAATACATCTTTATGGGTAGTTTTAAAATTGTTAAGTTTTTTCTTTTCAATCGATTTCAGGACCTTTCTCATAATTATAATAACGTGCTTTTATGTGAAATGAAAACTAGTACAGATCATGATGTCTTCTGCATTTTGCCGATTCTTTGCTTAGAACATTAGGGGAGTTAAGCCCATTCCCCTATGGGTACTGACCTACTCTTGTCACTATCCTTGCATGTTCATCACTATGCTACTGGCTGACTTTCTAAGCTTTTTTAAAAACCTAACCTTGTAACGTACATTATTAATAAATGTAATATTGAAAGAAAAGGTGGAAAACATACTGAATCAAGAAGGGATGTCCCATTTACTAGGTCGAGGGAGTTTGTTTATTATTGGACTAGTTCACTTATGGGATAAATAGTAAGAATAATCAGCAAATCCATTGCTTTAGTGTTGCCTGCCCATATACACTGTGTTCTTTTAAAAATGAGATAAAATTTACTGTTAATAAAAAATCTGAAGCTTAAGAATCAGGTTAAAAGAATAAACGTTATTTATTTCCATAGAAGTTATCACACCCATTCATTAGAACAATCCAAGAAAAGGCGCGAAGATAATTTACGTGACATTTGGCGCGAAATGATTGTGTCACCCCTTTCGTAGAAGGCAAATGGACTGATCCAGTAGTTTAGAAATGCAGAAAAAATGTTACGCGGACATGCCCGTACAAAGAATCGCAAAGAATAAACATGTGCATGCAAAAAACTTAAGGAATTAAACATAACATTATTTTGCATCAGTAATATGATTCTTTCTTCTGCAAACTGTATTTGTTTAAATGCAGGTAACAAATTCCAGTGTAAATCAGCTTCCAGAAAATCTAGTTCATTAAGAATGATCGCTTAGTTTCGGATCTTGAAAAAATTAATCCTTATACTGCCTGACGCACGTGGCGTCAGGCAATAAAAATTTAGAAAAGCGAAAAAAATTATTTCGCGAGCGGTGCTTCTCGCGTAATTACGCGATAATTTATTCCTCGCGTATATGTAGGAATCTACAGTATGTGTAAGACTCTATGGTGTCTTTTATTTCGATTTCAAAGGGATATATCGAATAATCTAGCTGCAGAACTGTAGCGTTATGGTTTTACATTTTAATCTTTGGCGAAGCCCCCTTAAGCTTCTGGATTCTAGAGATTTTGTAGGGTAAAATGAGGTCTACCGAGTAGATACTTTTACATTTTCTTGATGAAACTATGATTTACGCTTTGACAAATTAAGGGAGGCGCCGGGTGCACCCCCTTAAATCCGCCACTGGAACATTTACTGGTACCCGCCATGTATCTTTGCTAAAACTGGTTTTCAAGGCAACCTGTATAAAATTTTTCTTAAACATTGGACTCTTCTATCAATAAAACATATGATATACAAATCAATGATACAGTATTTTAGCATTGAAACCTATCTATACAGAGATTAATATAAACAATAAAAAGTCTTTCTTTATTTATTAATGCAGGATTTATAGTTTAAATCATTGCAGAAAGAAATTAAATACATATGTATGTTTTTCTGCAATAGTTGCAATTGCAACGCAATCTCGGGCTTTCCGACAAGCGGAAAAACAACCTCGAAAGTATTACGTAGGCGTCCATGACAACTTCCCTTTTTATAAACATTGAAATAAACATAAGTAGCTGTGGAGTTTAGAGCTAACTTCATTGACTGTAGAGATATAACCTTACATATCCTATAGAAGGGACAATCAGCTCTGTCTAGCCAATACTTCAACTGACATTTTGTAATACATTCAATTTGGTTTTTTTTTCCGAGCTTGCTCGAAAGGCTCAAGAAGATGCATGGCCATAGGAACCGGGGGGAAGGGCGACAGGTCTGATGACCTTTTTTTTTTGTTTGCTTGTCAAGGAATTTTGGAAGTAGATAGTGCAACCCCAATTGAAAATGTATGGTTGTGTCCCCTCAAAGTGAAATTGCTTCCTACGGGCCTGAGATATGTTTGCAATTATTGTAATCGCTTTAAAATTCCCGTACTAAAATTAAACAAAGAAGGCATTTTATTGTTTAAATGAAGAACAGTATTTACAAACTTTAACTCCTCCAGTGACTAATTATAAAACTGAATTTTTTCTTTAATTTAAAATGGCATGGAAGCGCAAAAAAGCAACAGGCAATTAAAAAAAGTAAACATATCAAGTGAAAACTTTTATTATGCAATATTACGAAGATCAATTTTAGAACGTGTGGTTACACAAATCGTACAGAATGAAAACAGAACTTACAGAAGGCAAACATCTAATCTTATTACCCAATAAAACATTTTACACTAAACACTACATCCTGACGCTAAATATGGGTTACAGCCTCTGAAATGACAAAACTCGCTAATCAGAAAAGGAACTGACGATATTTAATAAAAATTTCACAGGACCTCTAGAAATTTCACTACTCCATTTCCCTCCTAGTGGATCCTCTTACGGAAATCATTTTCTGGTCTCCGCATTGTCTTTCGGTCGGAGATGCACTTCCTCTTTACGTCATCCTGTTCAGATAGATAGCAGCCACTAACAAATCAAAGGCCAAACTGGACACAACGCTTCTGACGGCGTGGCGTTTATTCCACACCTGAATTTTTTCTCTCACCCAAGTTTCACCTTAAGGAAACAAGTATTATTTTCATTAATAACATTATATATATTATAGATATACACAAATAAAATATCAAAATAATTAATAGTGTTGATTGAACAATAACCAATAATATGAATAATATACAGAACTTTACTGTAAATAATCTTTGACACCATAGTGAATTGATATCAACAATCAATCCGTTATTGGACTCTACCTTTTCTTTCCAGGACGCTCTCATCCAGTAGTCGGTTAATGTCCGGTATCATGACCAGTAATGTCCAAGGCCACACAGATATAAAGGTAAGACCACCAGCGAGCCACAACCACCGGTGGTCACTCGCGTTACTGAAGTACCACACAGCGGCCGCGGAGGTGGAACCCAGGATCGCCAGTTTTCCCTGTAAATTCAGAATTATTTCAACATTTCAACATCAAGTTTCCACACCGACAAATTAACTGCTGTATTCACATCTTATTGCATCATTTTGAAAGCTTATCTTTAGTATCAAAAGACAATTAGGAAATCATACAGGAAAATAAAAGAAATTGCAAGGTAAAACTGTATTATCTAGACTAAGTATATATCCAGGTAGGCTAAGCCTGTCAACTATTTTCAACCAGAAGTACAACATATTAAAGTGTTATACCAGCTGAACACTTTAGAAAACTTCAATATTTCAATTAAGGATATTCACTCCAGTCAGGAAGGATAACCTTCAATATTATAATATCTTTTGGTGCAACAATTTTCATTTCATGCATCTCGATATGAGTTAATGCTCTTTGAAATCTTAGAAACTGTCTTGTAATTTTTTTTTAGACATTTGAACACTATAAAAGAACAAAAATAAATACATTTTTAGAGAAATCGAATTTCCTTTAGTCTAGCATTAGATACCACTGCTTATTAGCATGATATGAAATTAAAAGTGATCTGTTAAGTCTTACAATGATAGCACAAACGTTTTACACTATGCATTAGGCCAAATAAAAAAATATGTGTGGTTCCGGTTACCCGACCGTCCCTATTTTATACCCCCGACCCTAAACTTTTTTTGGCAATTTTCATATTTTTTCCGGAATTTTCCCCAATTTCCATCAATGGCTCCGGTTTAAGTTTTAGCAATGACGGCCCCCTTGCACAACATAGTGCAAGTGTTTATTAGTGTTAAATCCAAAGCAAGCTAGCATGTAGGTGTACCCTACCAATATTGACTAGTATATTATCACACCACATGTAAATGTCATTTGCAAAGTAGTGATAAGTATTATTTAGAAAAATTAAGAAAATCATTTTGCTTAAAAAAAAAAAAAAAAAAAAAAAAAAAAAAAAAATCCCTACCTACCTACCCTCATTTTTTGGAGGTGTAACCGGAACCACACATATTTTTTTGTTTGGCCTTATATAACAATTGAAGTTAAAAGGACTTAAGTACCAAATTAAAAAACCTGCGATTTTCTCTAAATGCCTGGATACCTAAATTTTTTATCCTAAAATATATTTGTTGATCATTTTCCAATAAAAAAAAAAATGAAGAACAGGTGCTTTTATTCGCATTTCTGCAAAATATATTTGAAATTTGATAATTTTCCCTATATAATATAACTAACTTTAATGATGATACACATTAATGCGAGAATATTCAGAGACATTTTTGCTAGAATTTTGAAATACCCAACTCCTGGTTTTCAGAACCTGAGGATCGGACTACCTTAAGCAATAAATGCAAGTGAAACTATATGATCATCCCACCCACCCCAAATACATTAAAAATACGTGTTTTATAAGTATATGTATAAATATACTTTAATATAGTGGAGTTGGATTTATTACTTTTAAAAAAAAATATTGATAAAGCAGTGAAGCTTTCGGTATTCAGTGCCCGCTCCTGTTCCACTAAGTATGTTAGATCCGCGCCCTTACATGAACTACGCAAAAGTTTACCTGGTACTTCCTAGAGAGTGTGTAACACAATCTCCATTCGTTCAACAGTGTTTTGGTATCGTGGACCGTTCTGAAGAGTGTTGGTACATGTACCAGGTTGATGTACCATGCCGCCCCCGAAAAATAGGCGGTGCAGCCGACAGCGGCAAACCCCGCCAAATCCAGCAGTTTCTGTCGGTCCATCGTCAATTCTCTTCTGAATAGGAATCTCCGAGGAGTTGCGAACGTGCACTTAACTTTGTTTACATTATTTTGACCTTAAATGACCTAAATATTTTATCAGTTGGGATAACTCCTGCTTTCTTACGAAATACCTGTTTTTCCGCATACGAAATGATCATCAGCGTTTACCTGAGGTCAGATATTATTGATCCAAAGAAAGGCTCTGGACGATATGGCAGTTAAATCATTTATTTCATATCTGTGGATCGTGTTTGATGAAATATAATGCTCAAATTTCAAGTGCCAGTTACACAAAGAAATTCTGCCGGCATAAAAAAAATTCGGTCGTTAACCCCTCGTGTGTTCCAGATAATCTGTTATAAATAGGAGGAAACATGTTATCTTCGTTTTTTTTTCCTTACAGAAATGTTTTCTTACAATTGTCGACACGATTACTGGTAGCATTTGTCTCCTATACATGTATAAGCATCATTTTCCTATTTATTCAAAACAAGTACATGTATATACGTGTAGTATTGTTTCTAACTTTAAGAAGAAAGGGTCCTCTGCTCTAAATTTCTTTTTAAAATTTCCAACATTGACTTTTAAATTTAGCATTAAATTCGATCAATCAATTCTTAATTACATAAACTACAATATTCGCATCTTATTGCATCATTTTTGTGTCGCCTACAGAGCAGGGCGGCACTAAGAGATCACTTAACTCGGCGTCTGTCTGTCTGCCTGTCCATTTGTCACATCCTTTACCTCAAGAACTGTAAGAGGTATGGATTTGATATTTTGCACATATATTGCTTGGCACTATGGCCTTTGTAAATTATCATGATTATCAACTTTGTGACCTTTGTAGATTTATTTACATCTTTGATGAAGCTACAAAGTTGGCGACACCTGCGTTCCTTGGAACACTCTAGCTAAAATCAAATTTTTATTATTACGTAAGACTTAAATTTTATTTTATATATAACAATATAGGTGCAGAACGGTATCTCTTTGCTTGGGAAAATTCGGACAGTTAAAGCAGAGAGATACAGATCCAAGAGTTGTAAAAACCTTCGATTTACGCCGCCGCTTTTTTGTCGCTCGCTTCGGACATGATTTCTTGTATTTCATTCATGCTTTTCTCCGCTTTAAAAATGGTATTCGATAATTAACGATATATTTTATTTCTTTTCTTCAAAATACGTTGTCTGTCTAGCTACTGATTTAACTTTGTCTTTTCTGTTTTTATTACCTTTTATTTTTCAAAGTTCTTCCTTTTGTTTATCCTTTAACTTAAATACGAATTATTTTAACCAAGTCATGACTGTCCACTTGGCGATGGAAGGGTTGTTTTTCAAAGGATGGCTTTCTTTGCGTTGTACTCCTTGTAAGCCTTTGTTCTTCATGTCCATGGACAGTAGGACCGAAAATAACTTCGGCATCCCCAGACAACAGCAACAAATCACCACGCTCAATATCCTCAATTTCCGCCATGTTTTAAACCTTGCCATCTATATGTCTGAGTAGAAGAGTCTTTTCTTTTCACCTTTCTGCATGGATACACAAATAAACCGATACGAATTCGCCAATATACAACATCTATCATCTTACATACGTATTCTAAAACACAATACACTAATTATTTAAAATATTTAAGACTTTATAACCTATCTTCTTTTTTTCAACCGTATTTCTCTAAATCCCTAACCCTATCATTATTACTTCTTTTGATATAGAAACAATCGTGTACAATTTATTCCTGGTATTTTGTTTCTCATTGATATTCATAAAAATATAGTAAACGCAATAATGAATTTTATTTTGGAATTAAAAGGCAAGCCCAGTTAATTTAATTCGTTCTTCATACCTGGGTCAGTTATATGAATATAGTAGATATTTTGTAATAAACAGTTGACAATTCACGATATTCAAGATATACCCTTTTTAAATACAATATGTAGGTCACACTCATGCGCGAAATCGCCGTTTTTAAATTAAAAAGGCGGAGGTAACCATCATAATCTATCTGTGTTTCTTAGACCTTGCTTTCTCCTGGATCCATTAATTGGGGAAAGAACTCTATTTGTAATAAACTCTTACATTCATATGGAATCCAGATATGGTCATGCAGTTCACTATCGCACCTTCGAGAATCGACTAAAGGGTCGATGGCACGATAATGCAATGGCTCGATTACGATGAAACGATGGTGCGATGACGATGATGCGATAGTGTGATAATGATGGTGCGATAGTGAACATAGCTTCATCGTCATCGTGTCATCGCTATCGCACCATCGCGATATCGATTCATTGTTCCATGGCATCATCGTCGTCGTGCTATCGCACCATCGCTTCATCGTCATCGCACTATCGACCCAAGCCTCGATGGTGATATGATGGAATAGTGAACTATATGGCCCTATCAGGATTCCATACATTTCATCAGCAAAAAATGATTCTGTGCCCTTTCCTAGTTTCCTTAATAACAAAACAATGAATAATCAAATAAAAAATGCGGTCGATAATTTCACTTTCAAATTCTCATCAATCATGTACTTTCATATTACAACTGTATGCGAAATAGTTTGTATACGAACATTTGCCGATATTTGTATTTTTTTAATAAATAAACTTTTATGCAATCTGCCACCATTATAGTTCAAATAGGGCCAGTATAAATGAGCATCATTTCTCCATATTATTTTCATTGCATGTTTGTGCTTGAATATCGAAAATAAACATGAAATATTTCAAACACGTCCAAGTTCAAAATTTTGACTTAAGTCTGTTCTCAGTTTATGGTCTGGGACCAAAATCAAAGGCGGATTCAGTGCCTGCGCCCCCCTCCCCCGTTTTGATTTTGTTGTTGTTGAGATTTTGTTTGTATAACAAGCATTTACTTTCAGTTTAATCTAGTTTAGTTCATAAATTGATAAAATGATAGTACCCCCCCCCCCCGTTATGACATTCCTGGACCCACTACTTTAAATTTTCAAAAGTACTGATGATCTTGTCAAAATTGAAATGAACAAAAGTAACAATAATCAACCAAATCCACCTTAACATAGAACGACAGCTCTTGGATCAAATTTATTATAGGATGACACATAAAAACTTCTCCCCTGTTCAGTTAACATCGTATATATATATAAAAACAAATCAAACCTGTGCTGAGTACAGTTTCTTGAGACAGAATATGTAGATCTAGTACCGGTGTTGAAAAAAGTACGATCTAATTTTCTTGTAAATATACATTAATAGGACTGGTACAAGCTATAGGTAAATCACAATCCTATATTATAACTATGCTTAAAAATAGCTTTCATAAGCAACATTTCACTACACAATGTACTTCATTACATCATTCTATCAAGATAAACGGCTGCCATCATAAGGTTGAATGCCAAACCCGATGTAATTGTTCTGAAGCCGTGGAGTCTGTTCCAACGTGCGATCTTCTCACGAATCCAAGTCTCACCTGAAATAAATTTCTTGATTTGTTATTTTCTCATAAAATTACAGTTAAATGTCCAATGTGATAGAAAACAAACTGTGTCTTTAAAAAAATGATAAGACTATCAAATTCGAATACAAAATTATTCTTGTACTAAATACATCGATATAGTGGCGCAGTGGTTAGAGCGTTCGCTCTAGAGTCGCGGAGTAAGGAGCTGATTCTTACGTCGCGGGTTCGAATCCCTCTGTGGGACGTGGAGACTGGTCCTTCGGACGAAACCATATAAACCGAGGTCCCGTGTCGCAATAGGTGCTGGCGCGAAAAAGACCTCTCACTGCTCAATGGCCCTAAGTGCTGAGTATAGGTCAAAATTTGCAGCCCTCCACCGGCAAGTGGTGGCGTCTCCATATAAGTGAAAAAACTCTCGAGAGGGACGTTAAACAAAAAACAAACAAACAAACAATACATCGATATAAATTAATAAACCTTAGGTTAAGGTACATCTTTAAATATATCGTGAATTATATAAAAAACTAACATGTTGGTTGTTTTAAAAAAAGATAAATACAATAATCTATGAACATTTTTGCAATTTGTTTTGTCGCCATCTATATATATATGTAAGCACTACATGTAGTAAGCTTTCAAAGGTAGTAAGAGTTTTAAAGTATTGAACCTTTCCTTTCCAGGATGTCCTCTTCCTTTAATTTGTTGATATCTGGCATCATGACCAGTTTGGTCCACGGCATACCGGACAATAAGGTCAAGGCTCCAGCCAACCAGAGGTAGCGATACTGACCGCGGTCAGTGAAATAGTAAACGGTCAATCCAGAGGCCGTACCAAGTACAGCAAGACCTCCCTGTGTGTAGATAAAAAACAACCATGTAAGGCAATTCATGTTAAGTTTCTGAAATTGATTTAAACAGTAAGTGTATGTATTCAGAGCATATTTAAAAATACAGAACATGGAATAACACACAAATCTAATTAATGTTTTTTAAAATAACAATTCTGAACTTTCCGAGTTTTATTCTTATATTTTACCTAAGAAAAATATTTTTCATATGTTAAAATGGCCTCTACATAATCAACTGGGGATATATAATAATTATTTGGCGGTCGCCAGATAATGTGTGTGGCTGCCGCCAAAAACCGCCAGATAAAATATTTTTTTTCACTTCTCACTTACCGGCTTCCGTAGTGTATACACATGTTAAAGTGCACGTATACAAATAACATTCACAATATAGTAAATACATAAAGATCTGAATTCGAAAAAACTTAATAAATCATACAAAAAGAAAAGAACTTAAAATAATATCTTACAGGAGAAAAACTATGATTAGCACATGAAAAGCCAACATTTACAAACCTGGATAACACGGGCACGTGTAAAAGTCTCCCTCCACTCCTTCAGTAGCGTTTTGGTATCAGGCGCCACGGCAAACATCGTGGGCACCTGGACCATATTAATGTACAAAGCAGCCCCGGAAAAGTAAGCACTGCATCCTATAGCAGCGTACCCCGCCAAATCCAACCATTTCTGTTTATCCATTGCACACAGCTATACTCAATCGCCTCTCTATGTGTGATACGGCACTGACCTAGTTTCAATTTAAAGGTGCATATATCTGTTACCCGTATTTCTTTTTTCAAAGACGGTACAGATGACATCTATATAACTTTCAGGAATAAAATTTTCGTCCCTATTAAATAAATACATGTACATTGTAATTCTACCTCATTTTAGCCTATAAGATGAATAAAGCAACTCTTAAATGTTCGGGGGCCCCGGGGCTGGTACTGCTAATAATTTTACAGTTAAAAAAATTATTGAATAAACTCTTGGTTTTGAGACCAGCTTTTGTGAATAATACTAGTAATGGCTACAACAATTGCTCATCCATCTTTTTAAAAGGGTAAGACTGCATGGATCTTACATTGTTGTCTATGGAATGCTATCTTTCTACTGTGCTTGATATATACTTCACAAGTTTCAAATTCATATTGCATTAGAACTCTTTGAGAGAAGATTTTGCACTTTGGGGTAGATGAAGTTTACCATAATTACATAAAAGAGACTGATACAGGATTTCTAAATGGTAACAGGGACGGATATAAGATTTCTAAATGGTAACAAGGACGGGTACAGGATTTCTAAATGGTAACAGGGACGGATATAGGATTTCTAAATGGTAACAGGGACGGATATAGGATTTCTAAATAGTAACAGGGACGGATACAGGATTTCTAAATGGTAACAGGGACGGATATAGGATTTCTTAATAATAACAGGGATGGATACAGGATTTCTAAATGTTAACAGGGACGGATATAGGATTTCTAAATGCTACCAGGGACGGATATAGGTTTCTAAATAGTAACAGGGACGGATATGGGATTTCTAAATATTAACAGGGACGGATACAGGATTTATAAATGGTGACAAGGGCGGACATAAGATTTCTAAATAGTAACAGGGACGGATACAGGATTTCTAAATGGTGACAGGGACGGATATAGGATTTCTTAATAGTAACAGGGACGGATACAGGATTTCTAAATGGTTACAGGGACGGATACAGGATTTCTAAATAGTAACAGGGACGGATACAGGATTTCTAAATGGTAACAGGGCAGATATAGGATTTCTAAATGGTTACAGGGACGGATACAGGATTTCTAAATAGTAACAGGGATGGAGACAGGATTTCTAAATGGTAACAGGGACGGGTACAGGATTTCTAAATGGTAACAGGGACGGATATAGGATTTCTAAATGCTACCAGGGACGGATATAGGTTTCTAAATAGTAACAGGGACGGATATGGGATTTCTAAATATTAACAGGGACGGATACAGGATTTCTAAATGGTGACAGGGACGGATATAGGATTTCTTGATAGTAACAGGGACGGATACAGGATTTCTAAATGGTGACAGGGACGGATACAGGATTTCTAAATAGTAACAGGGACGGATACAGGATTTCTAAATGGTAACAGGGCAGATATAGGATTTCTAAATGGTTACAGGGACGGATACAGGATTTCTAAATAGTTATAGGACGGAACCAGGATTTCTAAATAGTGACATGGCGGATACAGGATTTCTAAATGCAATGTAGTAACAAGAACGGATATAAGAATTTTAATTAGTTACAGAGACGGAACCAGGATTTCTGAATAGTTACAAAGACGGATACAGGATTTCGAGATATTTGCAGGGATGGATACAGGATTTTTTAATTAGTTACAGAAACGTATAAAGGATTTCAAAATAGTAACAGGGATGGATAAAGGGTTTCCAGTTAGCGGCGGGATAGATGAAGCTAACCATAATTTACAGGGACAGATTCAGGATTCCAATTTAGAGAAGGGATAGATGAATATATATTAAAGGGAGGGTTATAGGTTTTCCATTAAGGGGAGGGATATATGAACTTAACGTATTTTACAGGGACAGATATAGGTTTTCCTATGGATGTGGTAAAGGTTTATCATATATTACAGGCACAAAAACAAATTTTCCAGTTGGGAAGGAATGAACGAACTTTACTAGATATAACAAGGAGGAATAACGTTTTAAAATTAAAGAAGGGATAGATGAAGTTTAACTAACATTACAGGAATGGATACAAGATTTTTGGTTAGGGGATAGATGATAAATTAAAGTACATGTATATCATGGGGACGGATACTCGATTTTAAGTACTGGGATGGATAGATTACCTCTAACAGATATTACAGGAACGGATACAGAATTTTTGTTTGGGGGTAGGATAGACAAAGTTATAATAATAATCATGGGGACGAATACAGGATTTTCAGTAAAATGTTTACCAAATATCACGGGAAAAGATGTAAGATTTGCAGCTAGGGATGAAATTTACCAGATAAAAGTGGAGGGAAAGGTGAAGTCAATCCGACATACATGTAACAGGGACGGATACAAGATTTCCAGTAAAGGGATATCAGTAAAAATCGTTTACCAGATATTACAGGGATGGGGGTGGATAAATAAAGCTTAGTATCATCAAAGGACGGATGCAGGTTTTCAAGTAAGGAGATAGATAAATGACGTTTACCAGATTTTACAGGGACTGATGCAAGATTTCCCATTATGGAAGATATAGATGAAGTTTTTCCAAAAACGAGAGATGAATATAAGATTTCCTGCTACGAGAGAGATCGATGGAGTTTACCGTATATCATTGGAATGGAAACAGGAATTCCAGTTTGCGTAGGGGGTAGATAAAACTTATCGGATTCAGGATTTCCAATTAGAGGAGGGATAGATGAATTTGCAAGATATTGCAGGGACAGAAAAAGGATTTCCAGGTAACGGAAGGATAGACGAAGTTTACCATAAAAACAGGCCTGGAGCAAGTACAGGAAATTTCTATTTCGGGCAGGGAATGATAAAGTGTACCTTAAATTACAGAGACCGATGTAGGAATTCCGGGTTAGGAGAGGGATAAATGAAGTTTACCAGATATTACAGAGACGGATGCGATTTCATGTTTAGGGGATGAATAGGTGAAGTTTACCAAAAATCATAATTATTACAGGATTTACAGTTAAGGGAGACGTACAAAAATGAATCTCCGTCCATCCCATGCTACATAAAGTTGTTAGCAACTGCCAAAATGTACAATGCATCCGTAGCCTCCCTGTGCATGTGCAGGATCATCAAATGATTCAGCCTTTCCTGGGACATAGTAGCACGAAGACAAGTCTTTACTCGGCGCAGAGCAGAAAATGTTCGCTCACTTGTGGCATTAGTGGCTGGTATCACTAAAGTAAGTCTCAATAGAGTCACAATCTCGGAAAATAGGCATCTGGAAGCTGGAGAAATCTGAGACACTTAATTTAAGTCACCAAAAAGGAAATGGACACAGTGGATGAATCGTATAAGTTGTTTCGTGCAAGCGTTCTGAAAGTACCCAGTTGTGAAGAAAGAGAAGTCTTGTCCAGATCACAATAGAACATTAAGACAAAGTCCAAATCTCCTTTGTATGTCTTGTCGCCACGCACAGATTTTAGAAGTAGGCGTCTCCATAGGAGTGAAAAATTCTCGAGAGGAACGTTAAACAACAATAAACAAACAAACAAACAAATATTAAACAGAAGAAGTCCTCTAGATGGCGGTACACTTGATAGCCTGGCTGATCAAAACGATCCTTGGCACAGTTCACCACAAGATCGAGAGCTTCGAAGTAGTGCTGTCTGTAGAGGTCTTTCTCTGATGTTGCAAATTCTGGAGGGGCCTTTCCGGTTTCAAATCGCTTAGGCATTGTTCTTCACCGTGGCAATGTTGGCTCAGACCCATGTAAGAAGATTATGAAATCGGACATTGCACTTTAGAATATGCATTTTTATTTTAAATTACCAATTTTGCAAATTTGTGTGGTGCTTTTTATAAATACGAGGGTTGTTCGGAAAGTTCGTGGACTACCTTCATAACTTTTTTGCTTGACGTCATGTTATATCCAAATTTGGAAGAAATATTTCAACACTAAATTCAATGATGTGTATTAAAGATCTTTAAAATATCCTGGTTTATTTCAAAATCGGATCACGAAACAGGTCAAAATTTTGTAATTTACAATCAAAACACTAAATAATGTCTGAAGTCATACCTTCTGTAAAATGAAAAAAAAAAAAAAAAAAAAAAAAAAAAAAAAAAAAAAAATTAAAAAAAGGAAAAAATTCTACACGTTCAAATTAAGAATTGTTTCATCGTTTCTGATTCCAAATTATGACTTAATGTTTTGCTCCGTTGAAAAGAAATCAGTTTCAGAAGATAGGTAGTCCTAAATTGAAAAAGGCAAAAAAGATGAAGTCGTAGAACGTCACGGAGCAGCAGTTTACCATACAATTTTGTATTGTACTCTGGAAAACTCCAGGAAAAAACTCTGAAAATGCCAGAGAATGTAGGAAATATGTCAAAAGCAAGCCATGCATGTGTGTGTACATAGTACAAGCGTTATCTGAAAGATAGAACTCTGCTTAGACGATGGTGATCTGTGAGGAAACGGATTATCTGTAAAAATCTTGTCAAAAACATTGAAAAATAGGTAACCTCATGCTTAAGAGTTTGGAGCCTCACAGATGCTGATCTTGTGAAAGCACACTTGTGCAGTGAAAAAAATATAACAATGACAAACAAAATAATGCTACTGGAACAATTGTTAGCAAAATAGATTTCAAGTGATGGAGAAACGTTTTTAATTAGCTCACTGGTATTGGGCAATACTGTGTGAAATGTATAGGGATAGTAGTTTTGAGAACCTCATGTCGGTATATTTTTGACGTTACAGTGTTGTTGAGTTTGCTCCGTGGTAGCAAAACGCGTTGATTTTAAAATTGAATAACATGAATTCTATGAAATCACATGGAATGAAACTTCACACTTAAACAAAATAAATATTTTTACATATGATAATATGTTCATTTTAAATTCCTTGAAGATAGTATAAGGAAGATTGGCAAAGTCCATGAACTTTCCAAACAACCCTCATACAACCTTTCTGTTACTAAATTTCAGTAAATTATATTGATACCGGTATATTTAAGTAAAATGTGACGAAAAAATAGAACATATATAGCCCAGGAATTGAAAATTCACATTTAAGTATGCTACATCTTTTAAAGGAGAAAATGTATACTTAAATTTTTACAAAAAATCAACAGATTGATTGAAATGGAACCCAGATTAAAATGTGTCGATTTGAAAAGATATTCAATGCAAAATGTTAAAAGAATCAGTAGATGACAACACAATATTTGACCTTTGACTTCTAAATATGACCTTGACCTTAATTGTGGATAAGGAATGGAGACTCCTCATAAATATGTCCAAATATCAGGTCTCTACTATAAGTGGATCAAAAGTTACTTTGAATTTAATAACAGGCTTTCATATCGCATGTAGATAGCATAAACACATTCTAAAATGTAGTTTGTCGAATGACTGATATATAGGATTCTCTAATGTTTAATAAAATACGGCAAAAAAAAAAAAAAAAAAAAAAAAAAAAAAACATGTCACAGGTTATTAATTTTCTTACAAAGATCACTGTTCATCGATATAATAGTGATGTTATTCTTTTTTTCTAGTGTACTTATAAGAAATTAGTTAAAACAGATTTCATGGGTGTTTTGTACTACCTTAAAGGAGCGATAGATGTACATGTAGCTTGATATTATAGCAGTGGATAGAAGATTTCCAGTTAAGGGAGGGATAGATAAAGATTGAAATCACAGAAATGGAAAGAAGATTTCGAGTTAAGAGAGGGATAGATGAAGCTTGATTTTAAAGGAATTGATAGAAGATTTCCAGTTAAGGGAAGGATTGATGAAGCTTAGCATTTATTATACATGTATACTGATAAACAAAAATCTAGAAAAAAATCTAAAGTTTTAAAGATCATTTTGTTCATTAAGTACATTACCGGTAAACTCCTAAAAGAAGTTCAATCCTGAACATTTGAGGTTTATTTCTAGAATTCTGCATAATATTTTAGTTCTTACATTAAATTTGGATTCTTCAATGCAATTTAAGCTATATTCAATTAAAAACTATTAAATTCCATACAAAAAGCATTAAGTGAGGAACTGTATTTTATGGCTGAAGGTTGTTAAGAAGAAAATGATCAATTTTTCTTTAAGTTAGAATTCCTACTTTTCCATGCAGGCTGAACACAGGGTAATTTTGTGCAGTGTAATGTTTTTTGCTGTTCCTGAAATATTTAATAAATTAACTTTTATGAATTCTATCATCATATTGTGACAAATATAGCAAATATGTACTGAAAGTCCTGGGAAAAATAGGGCAAATTTTAACTTAAAATTAATATTTTTCAGTAATATTTAAAATTTTACATCATAGACCCCCACTTTTGATTAACTTTTCTGAATATGTTAGATAACTTTTGATCATTCTGCTTAAATTCAGTAAACGTTTAAGACCTAAAAATAATTTTCCTCCTTGCTCAATTTTTAATGTCAGAAAAAAATGCATTTTGTTAGTGCAGAAAGGTCAAATAATTCATTATGCTTAGTAATTTGATTTTTTTGCAACAATCTTTAATGTGTCTTTCAAGATAGATTAAGGTATATTTGATCCCATTGATTTATTTGGGTAAAAAAAATACTGGAAGAAAAATATAAAAGTGATTCATGATTTCAGTGCAAAAAGGTCACATTAAATGTACCCTATCGCCAAAAGAATGATGTAATCAAACTTAATATATAACCAAACAAATGAAAAATTCTTAATGATTTTATTCACATCACTATGTAATACATAACGACGTTCAGTGTAAATAATATAAATTTTTTGTTACTGCATTTAATGCAATAATTGCAATAAATTTATGATAATGAAGTCATACTTCACAATGTATCAGGATCGCAATAAGATTTATTTAAATCATACCAGAAAGACACAAACATACGAAAGTAAAAGATCACATCAATCAATAATATTGGTATTCACTGATTTTTCATTCAAGCATCATAAAAGTAAACCTCAATTTGTCACAATATTGATTGGGGTTTGCCATTTTCCACTTGAAATCAGAGAGATTTACATCCGGGTCATGTAGACAGCTGCTAACATAAGGTTGGCACTGAGGTCAGACAGGAAGGTCCTGACACCATGACGACGGCTCCAAAGGCGGATTTTGTCTCGGACCCATTGTTCTCCTAAAAAAAATAATAACAAAGGACCATGCACAAAATTTAATTTTTTTATATGGCCCCATCTAGATCCCCAAAAGGAGTCGAACGTAAATCTGCACTTCACTTGAGTGCTTACATTTCAAATTCACTAATTATGGTGCTTGGATCTAAACGAGAGATGAACAATTTTTCTCATATTCCTGTTTAACTTTGAACCCTTAGCGAGATCCAGTCGAGGTCCGGCAATGATATAATCAAATGTGAAATGATGGTTCCATTGTTGATATTTGAAAAAAGATGACGGTTGATTTAAAAAAAAAAAAAAATATCTACTTTTGAACGTGCACCAGACATCTGCATATACTTAAATTCTTATGCATACGAATCCAGGTCATTATTTTTAAATCTCTAACATTTACTCGAGGACTCTACTTGGCAAGTTTGCATGGTTGAAAATTTACAAGTGATTTTCGAAAAGCTGTAAATTTGGTATTCATCAAATACAATGAACTGTGACATCCATGGCAGTATTTGAATAAATAGACACTATGTGTTACCAACCGCGTCAAAATCAAATATATTATTTCGTGATATATAAAAGGCATATTTCTGTTTCCCACAATTTCATTTTAAAAAAAGTCCAAAAATTCTCAATGTTAAACTTTGTCTTACCCTCTTTGTCGATCACGTCATCTTCCAAAAGACGCTTAATGTCTGGCATCATAACAATAAACGTCCAGGGGACCACAGCTATGATTGCGGCGGCGCTACCGAACCACAGCCAGCGATATTTTGACTGTTCGTGAAGTCCCACCAGAACTGCCGCGGCTGCTGATGTCATTGCAAAACCACTCTACAAGCAGACAAACAGGATACAAGAATGTAGGAATTATTTCTTTATTCTACAGTTTGTAAATCAATCAATGTCAGATCATTGTCTTTGATGATGAAATATTTCGCACAGTGGCGGAGGGGAGGAGGGGGGGGGGGGCTAAAATCGAAGAACGTCTTAAAATTTGTGCTATCAATCTCATATTAACTATAAGCATTGCGAATTTCTGTTTTCATATAATTCCCGCCCCCTTCAAGGAAATCCTGGATCCGCCCCTGGCAGTCGAATATTTACACTCTTTTTTTTTTGAAGTCAATGAGCATGATTTTTCCGTCTATTCTCAAAGCAAAACTAGAATGATTATCTATCAAGATGTCGGAAACAGATTATAATAACTGCATTATCGCTGACAGGTTCAGAAACAGCTCAGATCTGTTATCATGCATGTACGTGCACGTTAACTTACAAGCAGATATACTGTAACAGTCCAGTGATTTGACAGATTGGTTTTGAACAGAGTTATTGAACCTGATTATTGTTGACATTTGTAGGAAAGTTAAAAAGAGCTTGTATACATGTATGTGTGTATTTACTTGACATTGCAGGAATAAGTATAATTTATGCTTTTCATGTAGTTAATAGGTGATTATTGACAAGTTTAAGTGATTTACATGTGTTGATATAGTTTGTGCACATGTTTTGAGTTACGTAGAAATCAGGTGGTCATAGCTGCAGCAAAGTTGTAGTATTTTAGCTTACTTAATGTCAGGGACTTTTAATTGGTCTTCTGTAGTAGATAAACCATAGCTTTGTTGATGAAGTCATGTTTTCTTGTAGTTTAACGTGTTTTCAGTTGATTTTCAGCGATTATTGTCTCGTGAATGACCGTTGTAAAAAAGCCATAACTGGATTCTACAACGTACAGATACAGATACAGAGAATTGTAAAACTGACAGGAATATTGTTGGCAAACTTGGTCGTCGTAATTGCGGGAGGTCGAGCCCGATCGTAAATGTTACGATAGTTTGAGGATTTTGGAGTTAATCGTGTTATTTGTTGTATTAAATGGATAATGGTTTACTTATTTGGAATTAGGAATGTATTTGGTGATGACTTTGATTCAGAATAGCTGTCTTGTATGTAGGTATTAGATTTTTCTATAGACTTTGCCGCTTACGGGAGATGTCACGAGAGATTCTCCAGCATTTTCCGATGTTTCCAACATTTTCCAACTTTTACGTCATGTTTTTGTATAAAAAGGAGAGATTCAAGGAATTTTTGCTCTTCTGCTAGGTTCTTTTGTTTAGAGAAGCTGCGTTTTTAGGGGTAAGGATTTAGAAGTTAGTATGGGTTGGGCGTTTCGAATTTAGACTTAAGAATGACTTAAAATTTTATTTTAAGAAGAGCCAGGGTTATTTTCAGCACATTTTAGGAACTTTTGGAATATTTGTGGAATTTTATAGGAAGTTTCGGTCAATTTTAGTGATTTTTCTCTGAGGAATTAGACTCTGTCGAAATTTACTGTTTGTTTATCCCTAGTGAGTCTCGCGAAGAAAGTAGAGTAGAGAGAGAGTGAGAGGCCCGTTACAATACTTAACGTCATCAATGTACAATTTTTTTCTAAAGACGCTGTCAGAGATTCAGACCGAAGATTATTATGCCCTATTTATTATTATGAATTAGACATAAGCAGTTAGAATCTGCAATTTTAATTGCTTTAAAAACACTAACAACTATATTATTTAAGTTTTATTGATATTTACAAAGTAATCACTCGAACACAAGATTTGGGCTTAATATTTTCTCACTGCAGGACCATTCATACAAGAGAATAGTGTCAAGGTTAAACCGTTACAAGCCTTATCGTTTATTTGGTCTCTTGCAACATGTTTTAACGTATACCTGTCACACTTTAATTAAGCAGTCCTAATTTTATGCATTATAAGCAGTATTTACCTGGTATCTTTTGGCCCGTAGAAACATCTCCTTCCATAAAGCTCTCACCGCCTTTGTGTCTTTGACCTGCATCATAGCAGGAGTCTGCACAAAATTGACATAGTATGCTGAGCCCATGAACGTAGAGGCGCAGCCTATGGCTGTATAGGCCCCCAAATCCGCTAGATTCTGTCGGTTCATCGTCCCCGTTGGATTTTTTTAACAGTATTTTTACAAAGTCTCTCTCCAGTAACTGTGTCCTAATTTATAACACGTTCAGACGTAAATGTATTTTCGTTTTAAACAAACACATCTGATGCGTTCCGAGTAAATTTGGGTCGTTTGTCGATCTAGTACTAGTGAAATCGAAACAAATGATTGCGTGTTTTTTTTTACACTGACGAAATTTTACCTGGATCTTTCCTGTATGTCACAGAGCAAATATCACAAGTTCGGACCAATTCTTTATATTAAAGATTTGTGGTGTATTGTTGTAAATCAATTCAAATATTTATTTTTAGACTTGAGCGATCTGGAAGGAAGGCGGAACCTCTTTGTAGCGAAATAGAACGAACAAGTGCTATTTAGTAACTAAGTACTATTTCTGCACTTACTGACAGGATATACTTTGACCTACAGTTGTATATATATATTAGGGGTGTCAATTTTGTCAATAATTCATATTCGAATATTCAATGAAAGTATTCGAATATATTCGAATATTCGTTAGAATAAATAAAATCTGGTTTATTTTAAATGTACATCATCATACTCTCATGGCAGGTTTTGCGTCAGTATTTGGAAGTAAAATTGGATGTAGACTTTGGTAGATATAAAATAAGGAATTTACATTTTATATTTGTCTATGTTTAAAATAAATAGTTGATTTAAGTGTATACAACTGAAATATAATTTTGACAAATGATATCCATACAAGCTCAAACTGACGAACTGGTCAGTCGTCTAACCAGCGGCAAGATTGTCGTTTACTCTTCAGATTTAAATACACGTAATTAATTACAATTATCTGCTTAATAAGAGGTACACGTAAAATATCATCTTTGATACAATGTTTTGAAAATATAAACAAACACTTCTATAGACAATTTTCCTAGGTCATTAATTTCCCGATAATGATTTTAAAATTCAGTAATACATTCATCCTGCGATAATCGAATAATTGATGCATTATTCTGAAATTGAGCCCTTCACAATATTACAGGCTGATTCTAACAAAGATGTAATTCAATGATCAATAAAATTTATTTTCATAACTAAAATCTTCACGTCTCTTAGACATTCAAGAAGGTTTTCATTTCATTGTCCTCGATTCTAGATCCGATCATATTAAACTATTGAAAGTACTTTTTGTATTATGCATTAATAATTCTTGTTTATTTCTTTTATACCTTACTTAAAATGAAATACCCCTGGTAATTTAAAAGATCTAGAAGATAAGAAAGTAGCGAAAGATATCAGGGAATTGCTAGTCAATAAAACAGGGATAATTCCAGCACTGTTCTAATTAAAATTTATTACCTTTTTTGTGAAATCTGAAAAACACCGAATATTCGAATCTTAAATTCATATTCGAATATTAACTCATCGAATGAATATTCGAATATTCGTTGACATCCCTAATATATATATAATATATATATATAATATATATATATATATATAATATATATATATATATATAATATATATATATATATATATATATATATATATTAGGGATGTCAGTTTGTAATCGGTTAACCGGTTACTCGGTCGGAACGTTGGTAATCGGTTAGAAAATCAGTAATCGGTTAGTTGGAAAAAAATTATATATGTGTAAATTTGAACACAATATCCTGAAAATTCAATCACAAAATAAAAATATATGAAATGTTAGCATTTTCACCCATCTATTTCTTAGGCTGGTCTGGAGATAATTAAGACTCTCCTAATTAGCATCGTGGGGGTAATTAGTCAGACTTCGAGATGTTAATTGCAGTTTAAACACCATGTCGCTTCCCAGCCGGTCCTGTGTTTCTTTAATGATTAATTTCAATTGAATGATCGTTGAGTACCACGAACAGATTATAATGTGTACCCTACCCCTTTTATCTTTTGCAGTTACAAATCAAATTATGTTATTAAACAAACATTGTAAATTAAGCGATAATTCAGACTTAATTTTGATTATGTGAAAATGCAGGTTGAAATTGTGAGACATCTCTTCTGAATTTTTTTAAATACATGTATACCTGATTCTTCAGGCATGTTTCATGGGTTTCTTAATTTTTTCTTTTTTCTTTTCTTTTGCTTTAAAATTGAAATGAAAAATATACTCGTATATATTGTTCGGATAAACATAATATTACTACATGTAACATCTTGTTACATTACGTTACATTTTTGACTTACATTTTTTGATGAAAAAAATATATAAACCGAGCATGTTGTCAAATATACAATGCAGTCCATTGAAAATAATTAAATTCTCTGCGATTTTGCATGCATATTACGGGAGTGAATTATGAGCATAATTTGCCTCGTTTACTAATAAGCTCGGTAGAAATTACAAAATTTATTTGACATCATATTTTAAATTTACCTCCCTTTTATTTCATTGAGATACATTCAAAACAATTCCATTTCATATCAGCAGGCCCTAGTTCCAGTCCTCTGTTTTCAGTATAGTGTAGATATGTTGCTGATTTAGCATTGAATTTATTTTTTTTTCCATTCAAAGCCCCTATCCCACCCCACCTTTAACCCCCACCCTCGCATAGACTCTTACATACTGAATACTTCTTATGTCATTATCGAAAATTTCATTTTTAAATCTACAAATCAAGGAATAGCTTTTACGAAAATCTAACTTTAATAACACTTCCGGTAGCATGGGGAAGTGCATGGTAGAGGACTTTGAAAATGACCAGTTTTAAATTTTTCGGTATAATGCAGTGCAGTCCATGATTTGAAGAATCTTCAATCTGCATTGAGGATGCTTGCTTTTTAATATGTCTAGTAATCATTGTCCTGTTATTCTTAAATTGAAAAGATTTTCCCCAGTACCTGAAGACTTGTGTAAATCTTCGATTCCTTGTTTTGGCCTCATCCATCCCCAGGGACCGTGATTTCTGCACTACCAGAGGATGCTAGCGTATTAATATCACTTAGCATTCTTAAAAATTTTCCTACACTGGTATAACTTTGATTCCCTTTCGTGACCCTACCATACCCCACGGGCCATGATCTAAACTAAACTGAATATGCTCTACCTGAGGATGCGAGCACATGAATATCATTAATCTTGGCTTAGCTGTTCTTGTTTAAAGATACTCTATGTGAAAATGTGATCTGTTGTGCCCTATTAATTTTGCCGATATATAGTATTCTAGAAAACAAAAAAAAAAACCTTCAATAAATTACGTCTGCTCACTCAATAATTACGTCTGATGACCTTTTTTCAAGGAATTTTTGCTTTTTAGTGGCCATCCAAACTTAAACTTGTTTAGTTGTGCTCCACTCCTCTTTCTGAAATTGCTTCTTACGGGTTTGTAAATTTACACCACATGAGGATGCTTACTTATCAGTATGTGCTGTTCTTGACAAGAATTCTAAAGGTATTTCCTTTATATTGCATATAAAACTTTGACCCCATTTTGCGGCCCCATCCTATCCCCAAGGGGAGGGACAATTTTTTAGATAAACACAAATCTAAACTTTATCAGGTAATATTCATACCACATGCGTAACAAATATCAAAATAAACTTTAAAATTTCCTCTCAGTCTTTCATTGATGGGTACTTACATATAGATATGTTCATGTATTTTATTGCGACTTTGCTATACAACAAGTGATATATAGAAAAAATAAATACTAGTATATCGGCCTCATCATCCTAAAAATCCTACATTCTCCAAACACTTCAAATAGAACACATGATTGTTATAAAAAAAATTAAAACAGCACAATATTAGGTGCTTCAACAGTGTGGCACTTTTAACAGGCAGATACATAATTATGTTCCAGTGTCCATTCTGTCTCTTCCTTCGCAAGCTAATTTAAGAGTCAAATAATTATTAATAAATTAAAAGAAACACCACTGAATACTATCTTTCTTAGCATGGCTTTTATATTTAAGTCATTATTAACAACCACTCTTTTCAAAATGAATCCTAATAGTTAAAAAGTAAAAGGCTTATCCTCCAGAAACTGCTGAGAGGAATCCCTCATAGATTGATATCTTTTCAGATGTCAGACTAGATTCACTAATCACTTCCGCTCTTCCTCATGTTGCGTCTATTGAATAACATTCAAACTGTGAAGTCTCTGGAGCTTGGTCAATACGCGAAGTTTCTGGTGCTGGTTCAGTTTGTGAAGTCTCTGGTGCTGGGTCAATTTGTGAACTCTCTGGTGCTGGGTCAATATGTGAGGTCTCTGATGCTGGGTCAATATGTGAGGTCTCTGGTGCTGGGTCAATATGTGAGGTCTCTGGTGCTGGGTCAATTTGTGAAGTCTCTGGTGCTGGGTCAATATGTGAAGTCTCTGGTGCTGGGTCAATATGTGAAGTCTCTGGTGCTGGGTCAATATGTGAGGTCTCTGATGCTGGGTCAATATGTGAGGTCTCTGATGCTGGGTCAAGATGTGAGGTTTCTAGTGCTGGGTCAATAGGTGAAGTTTCTGGTGCTGGGTCTATATCCATACCCTCCTGTGAACTCATGTCAAATTCATTGTCTTCTGTCTTCATATCCTCTCTTCCACTAAGACCTATTGCGCCATTTCCCCCTTCTTCTAGAAATGACCGGACAGTTTGTATAATTTGCCAATCAGATGTAGAGTCCTGACTGGTTTCTACAGAAGCAGAGACTTCTGAAACAGTTTTGACAGTTTCTTGATCAGACGTAGAGTCCTGACTGGTTTCTACAGCAGGGAATTCTGAAACAGACTGGATAGTCTGTTGATCATGCTCAGAGTCCTGACTGGTTTCTACAGCAGAGACTTCTGAAACAGATTGGATAGTTTGTTGATCAGGCACAGAGTCCTGACTGGTTTCTACAGCAGCAGAGACTTTTGAAACGTTTCCTGGATAAGTAGCTGTGGGTTTGGAACTATTTTCCTGACCTGTCACAGTATCATGTGCCGCTTGTTGATGAGCTTCTCTTTTCTGATCTTCTCCCTCAGCAGACACAGTACCTGTGTCAGACTGCGTCCATTTCCTGGCTCGGTGCAGCTGTACGGAGTCGGTGTTTTGGACCTCCTCTAGGAACTGAGCCAGTAATGGGATGGCGCTAATAGTCGCCTCGTAACAGACACAGTCTTCTAATGACTGCTCCGACTCTGACACTGAAAACATACAAAAATAGATGAAAAGAAAAACACATACACCGTATAACAGTTTATAAACCATTCTGGTTTTTCACCCTCAAACTGGATTTAGTTATTGTTTCCAACACTTTTTCATATGTTATAAGCATTCTGAAAGCTTAAAACGCAGATAAATCTGACCAATTTTATCCCTTTTTTCTATCTGGAAAATTAGATAAAGGGTTCTGTAAGGTAGATTTTCATCATCATTTAGCAAAAGGTGTTCTTGGCTGACAAGAAACTGTTAGATTTGGTTTTGAACTCGCATTAAACGATTTAAAAATATAACCAACAAATAACAGAAAACTCCTCTGTAGAAATTAACCGTCCTCAAAAAATAATAGTAAGTAAATTTCAATTGCTTTAGTAGATGCATTTAACTTCATAAAACAATTCATTAACATTTATACCTTGTATTGGCGCCTGATAAGTAGAAAATACGGACAGGGCAGGTTCTCTGGTCAAAATGGTCTTTGACAAGCATCCTATCTCACCCAGTATCTGTAAACAAGTTATACAGCGAATATGAAAGAAATCACTTATAATTACAAAATAAAATATTCTGGATAACTTCTTAGTATTAATTTATTTTGTAAACGTCAGCATTCATTGTTAGGATACCTTTACTGATTAAATGTAAAATCATACCTCTTATTCAGTTCATTTTTAATAGTTTAAATCTGCTTATAATCGGTAATTTGTCAGACTACTGTGATGGACTACAACCCCCCCCCCCCCCCCCCAAAAAAAAAAAAATCAACTAAGAACGTACTAAAATGGATGTAGTCCTTTTTTAACTATTAGATGCATTATTATAATATGGCCAAGAAAAAGTTTTTACTTCTCAACTACATTGACTAAATTTAATCTGTAACTATTACATTATTTGAGTATCTGATATTTTGTGACACAGTACCCTCTTTTTCATATTTTCAGTGTTACATCAGTCTACTGTTATTTTCATATAAGGTTCACCGACCCTCTAATAAGAGAAATAACTCTTACTTTGATAAATCAGGTTAAAAGGCTTTTCTGTCAAATTTTGCAAAAAACAGATTTTTTTATTTTTTGAAAATTTTTAGAGTTTAAGCAGAATTTTACACAAATGGGCAAATAAAAAGAGGAATAATGAACCTTTAATATAAACTTACCTCCAATAATTCCCTCAGATGACAAGGCAGGAGGTAGGGTAGGTACCGTCCACATATGTTTGTGAAGGAGATTCCAGGGTTAGACACTATATAAAGCAGCACTGCCTGAAGCATTAAGGAGAAGACTGGTTTGTTAAGGTAACCCTCTGGTTTCTTCCACGGCATAATATGAAGGCGGATCTTCTCATACGTACTAAAGAGACAAAGCACATTAGCTAATCAAATGGTACAATACAGCTTCCCGAATCGTTTATTATCTTATCAAGATTCTTTTGAGGGGGTAGCCATTGATGTAAACTGACACTACAAAGCATTAATCATCATGTACATGTATATGCTTAAATAATATTAAGTATTTTTGTCTGATGATAGAAATTTCAAACGACTTTAATTTGAATATTAAAGACAACCGTCCTGAAAGAGACCTGAATGCTTTGGGTCCAACAGGAATAGAATCATTATCGTCCACCAACTTCTTTTTGGGTGACCTTGACCTTGTGTTTGGGCCTATTCTGGTGGTGATCAGCTCCTTTCCTTTTTTGCCGCTCAAAGTGTCTACTTCCTGCCCACCATTCACCGCCGTCTCTGACTCAGTATCCTGTTGACTATTGTTAAGTTCGGTTTGGGTAGTAACTGACGAGACCTTGTTGGTAGTCAATTGTGCCACGGCTGACTCATTTTCACAGACATTTTGTCTTACTTTGTCATCGTCTGAGGTTTTAGTTAAATCTGTATTTGTAGCCTTCGTGTCCACACGAATGGTGGAAGAGTTTTCCTCCACGAACCTTTGGTTATCAGATGAACTGTGTGTAGATTTTTCGGATGGCTGCTCCGCCTTTGTTTTTGTAGACCTCTCCAGTGTCCCAGCACTGCCATCCTGGGTATGATCCACGATTTCTTTACTTATAAACAGCTTGTCTTCCTTCTATATGAAAAAAAAAAAATATATATAATTGTGAGTTTTTGTCTCCATGCAAAACTTATTCATAACAAGTGCATACAATGAGTTATCTTTCTTCTTCTTTGACTGTCATTTAAAACAATTCCAGTATAGTTAGATATGACTAGTCTACATTATATTTATTTACTAGAGAATTGCAACAATGTACTGTGGAATCATTAGATTTCGTGGTAGCTCAATTTTTGTGGAATTCGTAGGTACCTCTCATCCATGAATTAAATTCCAACACGAATTAATAAACTATGAATACAAAGTCATATTTCCTTCTGTATGTATAAGAGAATACACGAAGTCACGTCCCCACGAACCAGTAAACTTTAAGCAATCCACGAAAATTGGCCCCCACGAATTTTAATGATTCCACAGTATTTTTAAGGAAAATTTAATTAAATTTTATAAAATTAAATTAAAAGTAACTAATTTTAGCTCAACTTATTCAAAAGACCTTTGAGCTAATTTTAAACACATACACGTTTTTCAAACATACCCATAAAACAAGAAATATTTTTTTCTTCCATTCTTTTGCAGGTGATCGACTTTAAAGACAGAGTAAATCTTTTAATAAATTTCGAGAAGACTGCAATTACAATAGTTTGCAGCTATGTTACAAGTACAGTGATCCTTAATTACATACAACGGGACGTTTAAAAACTATTTATTTTCACACTGAATTGTCTACGGATTTTTCCGTTTGCCTGAGCATGACAGGAGCACACGGCAGGTGTGACCGGTCGACAGGGCATGCATACTCCTCCATGGCACCTGATCCCGCCCATAATGTTTTCAGAGGTCCGTGTTTGCTCTGCTCCAAATTTGTAGTTTCAGTGGACTTTTGCGCTTGATTACTGTTCGTTATTTTCATATTTCATTGGCTAAAATGACTTTAGCTTTTTTATTTTCGACCTCCAAATCAATGAAGTGCAGCATTGTAATTTTACTCTATAATGACCATGTAAATAGCCTTAATCAATGTTCTTCGTTAACTTTTTTAAAAACATATATCATCTAAGAATTAATTTGGCAAAACTTGCTACAATGACCCTATTCCATGAAATATTTTTCTATCTTCCAGCGGAATTGCAATCTAATCATCAAATGTGCAATCAAATACAGTTTGCTCGAGTGGCCATAAAATCAATCTTTCCTTATGAATGTGTGTCAATAAAAATGTTAGCAGTCCGTTTCAAAGAATGTAATTCATAGATGTTCTTCCAGATATGATAAAGGTGCAGTTAAATACATTGCACATGTACCGATTTTCTTATGTGTTCCCAGAAATCATTGCAGTGATAAACCATGCTTTCTTCTAAGAAAAAACCCCCCTATATTTCTTAACGTACCGCGTCGGCCACAACCTCCCTGTGGTGTCCGCGCCCTCTGGTGTCTCTATAGTTGTGAATAATCCAGGGTCGACAATTGGGCAGGGAGACATACTTTATACTGGTTATTCCTACACGTAGAACCTGAAAAACATAAAAAAGGTACCTCATTAAAAAAGATAATCTATGTCCTAAATAAACCCAATCGAAAATGTCGACTAGAAGTAAATTAATTCGACACAAATAAATAACACAGGTAGCTATATGAAAATATTCATCTTTATTTCGAGAGTAATTATTACAAATAACTGAAATAAGGCCCCAATATGTATCATTATGAAGTATATTAAACTCATAATTTCTCAGAATCTATGTAGCATGTCGTCATTGTATGACTGGTCACCATTGTTTGTCCGGAGAAGTCAATGACACCAGATTCTCTCTGCCAGGTCTTTTTGACATCAGTTTAACTTCCATTCAAAATACACTCTAGCAAGACAGATGGAAACTCTTATTCCACTGAATGAAGCTAATGTAATAAACGTGATTTCCTCCGGTTATTTTTACTCCATCCTTCTGCAGATTTAAACGTTTATAAATATGGAGGTGGATTTAAACGTTGTCGTTTTTATATTCAAAGTGAAGTCATCTTCCGACTGTTTAGTTGCAAAGACATAAAGGCAGAAAAAGAAACTATCCCAGTCTTTTCGAAGACGACTGATTGAAGAGATGAAATCAATGACTCTTTGCTCAGCGCGACCTATTACTTTCTTAAACGGATCGACTTCACATCTAACCACATTAACCATTGGAGTCGGCGTATTTATCAATTATAACGATATTTTCAGTAATTAAAATACGTTATATCTATAATAAAACACCAGGAGTGCAATGCCTTCCAGTCAAACGGCAGTAATATCGAGGGTTCTGCACAGTCTAATTTCGAGCAAAAATTATAAAACTTAACTTTTTTTTCAATAATGATTCTTTACACGCATGTTTGTGTTTATGCGCCCGTTAATGGTAGCAATGACATTTCTCTACGTCTTCGCTCATACATTTTTTGACGTGACGCTTTTAGGTGACATTATGCTTTCAAATTGACCGTTGTGAAAAGGTTTTTCAAGAAAAGAATAAAAGAAGACTTTAGTCTCATAGCTCCACCAGCATATCCTAAGTGGGAAACTATGGAATATATACGGAGAAAGGACATAGACTATATAATAACAAGGAAACCATAATATCATTACGGGTCAAGGAAAACAGAATATTCTAACAAAGAAACGATAATATAAATGCATGTCAAGGACAAGCAAAATATTCGAACATAGAGACCATACAATAAATACGGCTCAAGGACAAATATACAGAGAAAGGATAATATGAATACATGTCAAAGACAAACATAATATATCAGCATAAAACCATAGCATACACTACAGTCAACGCGGTTTCCGTATTTACCGCGTGTCCTCGCGGTGTGAAATTGATCGCGGTTTAACACAGGTAACTCAGGTAAAACCGCGTGTTCTCGCGGTACGGGTTCTCAACTAATCCACACCATCGCGGTTTGCGTTATCCGTCTCAGGTGAAAAAATTATTCTCTTCATAGACGCGAGTTACCTCCCCCGACGAGAAAAAACACAACAGAGAAGTAAAAAAAAATTAAAAGGATAAAACCAGTCTTAGCAGTTATTTAGGTCTCCTTTTTATATTTGATTAATTTATCTTTTTATTTCACGCCTCTTTCAAAAATAAAAAAAAGGAAAGAAAGAATGCATGATATGGAGACAACTAAATATATATACATAGACATGTATATACATGTATATATTGAGTGTTCATTTATTGTTCTTAACTTATCCGTAATTATACATATGCATTAAATTTGTAGATCACAGTTATTGATCATCCGACAACTCAATGATTTAATTGTCAAATGAAAACAAATTTTCCTTCATTTAACCATTTTAAATACGTAAAATAGTCGCAATATTAAAAAAAAGGGCTCAGAATAAAATCTTCAAAGGAATGGATATTTTTTCTGTATTCCTTATTCGTAATTCAAGTTTCCTTAAAAATTTTAAACTTGAAAAAGTATGAACGTACAATATGTATACTAGACTTTTTTGAACATGACTTCTAATCTAGTGCGCTTTGTACAGTATTTATACAGTTATTACAAACAAACTATGATTCGGGTGTAAAATATCATTTAAAAAATATCTATCCTGTCTATAAATATTATCATTCAAACTTTAATTTACTTTAGATACATGTTTATTCGTAAATAGCAAGCTTCATCCTATTTTGATTTGAAAATTTAATTAATTTTCGGTCCATAATCAACTGATACTTCAAAAAATCAAAACTGATTCAAAGTTAGTTTAAGTTTTCATTAGTTGATTGTTCTCTAGTGACGGTTACCCTAGTGACTGCCTTCCCATGCTCTGGGCATCACACATTATCTTCATGCATGTGATACCCCTCCCTGAATTTACGGGGTTTTTTTTTATTTAATTACCTTCAATTACAGGCAAAAAACGTTATTAATAGCTCAGAGGATGTTACAGCATGTGCAAATATGCAACATTCGATTTTGAAATTTAATTTACACTGATAAAATACAATTGGAACAGAAGGTTCTATGTGCCCCCGGGCTAGGTTCGAGTTTGTAGTACGCACAGTCAGAACCTTGGCACTGACACAGACAGGAAGTGTTATGTAATACATATACACATACCTCTGCACAACAATAGATTAGATGTGATTTACCTGTGTTGTATACCTGGACATGCAAAATTTTGTGTTCATATTGAATTGCTTCGTGAAACTTGAAATACATCGCAAACTATAAAATAATTTGTCCATTCTATAAGTAGCAAATTATTTCATACAAAATTATCCATTCATTCAATACAACATTAAATTCCCAGCAACTATTAGAAAAATGAAACTTCATTCAGAATTCCTCCAGAATTTGAAAGTTTGAACAAACAGCAAGTGTTGTGCATTTATATGATATAGAAAAATAGATTTAATAAGTATCTCATATTTACATATCGACAACGATAGGAGAAGGGGGGGGGGGGGCTGGGTTTAATCAGGGTGTTCATATTTTCTGATTATTTCAGTAGCTAGTCAGATACAGATATGCTATGTACATTTTGGGCATTTATGAAGTGTGTTGATCAAATAAATATATACAGTATAGTGTAAACATATACATACAGACAAGTTTCCTGAAATGTGCCTCGCCGTTTATTTTAGATTTTTATTCTTATCCCCCCCTCCCACACACACTGCAAACTAATTCTCATGTTTCTCTACCCAAAATTAAACTGTGTAATTTAACACCCACTCCCTTAAACTGATTTAAAAGTTTCAGTTTCGTGGAACCTTTCTCTTTGGTTTCAATAATTACTCTGACAGTCCCAAGTTTTTGAAGATCGCCGACCAATAAAAAAGAAGACTTTTATTGTTTTGTTTTGTTTTTTTTAAATTCTTTATACGAGTATAACGATATTTTTGTGATTTCAGGATTGCCGTTTGATCAGTTGATATATAACCTACAGTTATGTATGATGGGTGATTTTGGTCAAGACTAGCTACTGAAATATGGTCATGTTATACATGCAGTTTTTACAGCTTGAAAACACGGTTATCGTAAAAGGGCTTGATCATCTCATGAATTTTCCGAGAACCCATAGTCTTATTGTGGGCGACCGATAGGATTAGCTACGCCCCACTGCACACGCTGTGATTGTGTAATACATGTACACGTGTTTGGTCAGTTTCAACTTATTTAATTCATGACTTCTCTGCTTAATTATCAGCTGAGAACGCAACCATTTAATTCTTTTAGCTTTATAAAAAGACTAATGTCGACTTCTTTTAGAATATATGAACATGATGAACAGAGCTGTTTTTTTTTTCATTCAGGCCCATAATTCTAACAAATTAGGTGGTGATCAATATCGTTCATTCAAATATTCGGGATTATTGTAAATAAATAACATTTGAACATGTTGGAAGAGGTATTTGGGCGAGATATTTTGTGTTTTCATTTTATTATTTTTTTTTCCAGTGATATACACAATGCAATTTTCAATTCGAAAAAAAAAAAAAAAAACTGCAGTAATACTATATGAAAAAACTATTATGATGAAAAAAAGGGCGTATTATAAATTGGATCGATATATACTACAACAACAAAAAAATTATGTTGAGTTATAGATCTCTTCATTATAATTCAGGTTACTTATTAGAAACTACAACAATGATAATATTTTGATAGAATAAATGCCAAGTATCATTCAAATATCACCCTTTAGACTAAAAAAAAAAAAGATTTTATAAATTATTTCGATAATTTTAAAGCTACATATGGCGTATCTGAGCTAAAAAATAAAAATTCGAGGTTGTTTTAAATTTCTAATATCTACGAAACGCGATTGATTTAAATTTGTAATTTACAGGAAAGTCCTATCTTTATATAAGGTAATAAAACAAATAGAAAGATCTTTTTAATTTTAGTAAGCCTGATATCAGAAATACGCCACATATGACTTTAACATGTTTGAGCCAAATTAAAAAAAACGATCTCATATATTCACGATTAAATATCCTTACTCAATGAGACCGTGACGGTATCCTTACTTTGACATTAAGGATTATCGACTTCACATTGAGTAAAATACGGTATAGCACACCGTCACGGTAATCTCGTGTCCCCGCGATCACCGCGATGAAAAAACCGCGACGGTGTATCGCGGAAAGGATTAAAACACCATCGCGGGGGCGCGGGAAAATACGGGATCCGCGTTGACCGTAGTGTAAATACGGGTCCAGGAAAAACAGAATATAAGAAGAAAGAAAGGATACTATTAATACATGTCAGACAAACAGAATGTACCAACATGGAAATCATAACATAAATACGGGTCAAGAACAGTTTCTCCAAATATGTTGTTGAAATCCCTGTTTACAATATTTTTTTAAAAATCCCACATTCGCTAAGACATCTCAACCGTTCAACTGTGATGTCACAGACTATGACACCGTGTGACCGCGGCAAAGGGAAAATCAAAGAAAATAATAAAGAGAACATTCAATATTTTGTAGTTGGATATGGAATTCATTTC